AAAAAGAAAATTTATTGTTTTGATAGTATTTGTGCACAGCAAAAAAAATGGTAAAAATAAGGGAATTTGAGATAATGGTGTAAGAGGAGAAGTAAAAGGAAAGAGAGAAGGGACTTTAATGCACTGTTGTGGAGTGTACAGGAAGACACATATCAACTTATAATGAAATAAAATAGCTACTTTAGTTAAACATATGAAACAATCCTTGCCATCGGAAAACCAAATGAATCCCAATAATGGTAATAGCACAAATACCTATGCATTTACTAGGAAATAACAATGCCCCCTCAGCTCTTTCAAAAAGCAGTATCAGATAAAAGGAGGAAAAGAAGCACACAGACACATAGTCAAAAAAGCAATGAAGATTTGCAGGTAGAATTTAGAATTTAGTTAGAATTTGACCAGTGTGCTCTTCTCCTTTAATTTAAAACTAGAGACCTTGGGCTGGGGAGATGGCTCAGTAGACTAAGCGCTTCCCTGGCAAGCACAAGGACCTGAGTTCAATCCCCAGTTCTGAAAAAAAACAAAACAAAGCAACCCCCCCCCAAAAAAAAAAAAAAAAAAAAAAAAAAACTAGAGACCTTGTCTTGCAGAGGTTGCAGGAGGCTGATGTCCTGTCTTCTGTGCTTGGGATTAGGAAGTTGGGTGTGCCATCCAGTGCCTGAGCTGGGTTCCATTCCATGACTTGCCTACTAGGGAGTGAAAGGCCTGGGAGGAGGTCTCATTGTTTTTGCATGCTGAGCTCTACTAGGCTTAAGCTGCACTCCTGAGGACTTGAAAAGACAGAGGATTTTGCCTTTTATGACTGTATACTTGCAATTGTATCAGAGATTGGAAGTGCTGAGCAGGACTGGTCAAGCACCCAGTCTTCCACAGATCTCTGGAGGAGCTTCTTCAACTCTGATGCTTTCCCTGTACAATAATCCCTGAAGTTGCTTAACTTCCACTCTTTCTATACTCCTACAGGCCATGCCAAGATTTCTTATCACATTATTCCTCTCCAGCATTCTTCTTCCATGAAACAACCTGTCTGTGTCTCACAAAACTTTCCATCCAGCCTGCAAAGTCAGTGGCATTTATGATTTGGCAGAGTTTGGAATTCAGTAGTAATTGTGAGATGAAGGTAAGGAGCATCCATGGGTGCAGAGCTCAGAAGCTGCTGAGCACAGGGTACAGATTTTCAGATGTTGAATGAATAAATTCTGTTTTTTTGTTGATACACTGAAAAATACCTTTGCATACTTGAAATTTGCCAAGTAGAAATTTATTGTCACCAGAACACAAAAGCTAACTATATACATTGATCAATGCATTAATTTTCTTTGTGGGAACCATTTC